TGAAAAAACACTTGCAAACAATATTTAATACGCCAAACAATGAACGCCGAAAAGGCAATGAACTGAACTGCCAACTATTCGAAATGAAGTGCCGAGGAAAGTGTCCAGACCAAAAAAAACGTGAGGAAGACAATACACCATTCACAAAACCACCCACCCACAACCTCATGCAAATGGAACGAACGCCCAAGCATATGCAACTATCGATGGCCATAAAGAATGTGATAAAAAAAAAAGTGGAGCCACACTAAATCATAACACATCGTTGCAGGAGACCAACTCTCTCTCTTTCTACGTTCCCTCCCTCTCCCAGTTGTGATGCAAAAGAACTCCGGTATTTTTTGCAATCAACTTCATTATGGTCGTGGAGGTTCCCTTTCACGTTTTTTTTTTAATTCAGTTGTCTTGCGATGTGTTTAATGACACCTTACAATTATGACATTGGCAGGTGGTATGTGAGAACACATACATACCTACATAATATACATATGTATGTATATATGTGCGCTGCATATTTTTGTAACTATGTGCATAATAAAATCGATTTTTTCCCCCAAAGATATCCTTTAAATAATTTTTGGGTTTTAGGTAGGGATTTGAAATATCATTGTTTCAAAATAGATGTGTTAAAAATTTCAATATATCAATTTCAATACGTATGTATGTGTGTGTGGTAACCGTTTTTTATTTTTCCAAATATGTCCCTTACAAAAATTTAGGATTTTAAGAACCATTTTTTTTTCAAATCGTTTTTTTTTTTTTTTTCAAAAATTTCAATATTCCAAATTTCAATAACTTAAAATCTTTTGGTTCAAAAATAATTTATTATTTTCAATCTATCCCCTCTTATTCGCCTTCTCCCCCTCTTAATTTTTCAGTTTGTAATACTTGCCAATGTAAATTCACTTGTTAATCCTTTAATTCAGCAAAACGCTCAATCTGCATTTCGAAAAAAAAATAAATCAACACTGAATTGAAATTTCCAAACAATGGCTCTATTTCATTATTGTGTTTAAGGCAGATTGCAGAGTGTGTGTTTGTTCACATGTAAATATGCATAAATTGTAAATGAGAGTTGATTAAATTATATTCTCATTTATTTGTATAATTACATTTGTTTATTGAAAAAAAAGGCGGGATGGCTGGAAAAATGACGCTGGTAGTTTGTTGGCAGGCAGCTGCGGTAGTAGCAGTTATGATATTAAGTCCAGGGAAACATTGACGTAGCGGTTTTTTAAGGAAAATAACAGGTTTTGCGACTCAAGGAATTAATACGAGAAAAACTTGAGGTTTTGTTCCCAAGAATACTTATTTAATTAAAGGACCCCTTTGGAACCATGAAATACAAAAACTGCAATTTATTAGAAAAATAAATATATTGGAAAAATTATTCCTCCTAGTTGTTACAGTGGTCCGAGCCTACACCCATCTCCTTTCATTGAAAAATTTCAATCTATCCTCTTCAATTTATTCAAAAAATTATATATTTTCCTCTCCTGTAATCGGGTCATTTTAATTCATAGCATTTTAGAATATCTAAAGAATGTTTCCCAATTTATTTGTAAAAAAATATTAAAAAAAAAAATTATATTTTCCTTTCGATCAGATTTTTTTCAGATTTTCAAAGAACGAATTTTCCCATATTTATTTAAAAATGTTCATACATGTATATATTTTCTGCTGAATATCTGAATTGTAAAAAACAATTTTTGTTCCTGAATAAATTTATTTAAAAAATTTAGTATCTCTTAAAAAGACAAATGGATGAGAGGAAAAATCTTTCAAAGAGGAAGAAACAAATACACATTATTCTGAAGGGATGATCCATAATTTTTTTTTTTTTTTTTTTTTTTTTGAAAAAAAAAAACAAGTTTCATTAACGATCTTTAAATATTTTTCAAAAAAAAAAAAAAAAAATCCAAAAATAAAATTTTTTTGAAAAAATCACGCTTAATGATTGTCCTAAAAAAATAAATTTTTAAAAAATTCAAATTTATTGAATTTCCTTTCTTTTTTTTAAATACTTTCGTTAATGATGCTTAAATATTTTTCAAAAAAAATCCAAAAATAAAAATTTTTTGAAAAAATCACCCAAAAAATAAATTTTTAAAAAATTCAAATTTATTGATAGGTGATGTTTATTAAAAAATATTTCTTGAAAAAAATATTAAAAAAATATATTTAAGCTTCAAAATGGTTTAAAAAACAACGAGTATGTCTTCAAAAATTTTTTTTTTTAAATCTACGTTTTCTGATATATATTTTATAAATTTTTTTAAACAAAGCTTCAAAAGGTCCTTCATTTAAAAAAAAAAAAAAAAAAATTAAACCACGCTCCAAAATGGTCCTTAAAATTATTTTTTTAAATCACGCTCCAAAATAGTACTTTAAAATTTTTTTTAAATATTTTTTTGAAACCACGCTCCAAAATGGTCCTTTAAAATATTTTTTTAAATCCACGCTCCAAAGTGGTCCTTAATTTTTTTTTTTTTTTTTTTAAATCATGCTCTAAATTGTTTTTTAATTTTTTTTAGAAAATTCACGCTACAAAATGGTCCTTAAAAAGTATGTGTTTTTTAAATCCCTGCTCCAAATTGGTTCTTAGAAATATGTTTTTTTTTTAAATCCCCGCTCCAAATTGGTCCTTAAAAATATATTTTTTTAAATCCATGCTCCAAATTGGTTTTAATTTTTTTTAGAAAATTCACGCTCCAAAGTGGTCCTTAAAAATATGTTTTTTTTTAAATCCTCGCTCCAAATTAGTCCTCAAAAATATAATTTTTTTTTAAATCCCCGCTCCAAATTGGCTCTTAATTTTTATTAAAAAATCCACTTTCCAAAGTGGTCCGTAAAAATGTTTTTTTTTAAATCCATGCTCCAAATTAGATTTTAATTTTTTTTTAGAAAATCCACGCTCCAAAATAGTCCTTAAAAATATGTCTTTTTAAATCCACGCTCCAAAATGGTCCTTAATAGTATATTTTTTTTAAATCCATGCTCCAAATCGGTTCTTAATTTTTTTTAGAAAATCCACGCTCCAAAATGGTCCTTAGAAATATGTTTTTTTTTTTTTAAATCCCCGCTCCAAAATGGTTTTTAATTTAAAAAAAAAAATCCACGCTCCAAAACGGTCTTTAAAAGTATTTTTTAGATCCATGCCTCAAATTGGTCTTTAAAACAGTTTTTTAAAATAAAAATATATTTTTTTAAATCCATTTTCCAAATTGGTCCATAAAACATCCACGCTGAAAATGTGGTTCTTTTTTTAAATATAAACTCCAAAAAGACGAATTGTCCTTAATTTTCTTTTTTTTTTTTGGCTTAAAAAAAATCCACAATCCATAAAGTTTCTTAAAAAATATTTTCTTTCAAATACTCAAGTTCTTAAGAAGCCCTCAATTTTTTTTTTTTTTTTTTTTTTTTTTTTTTTTGAAATCCACACTCGTAAATGGTCCCTAATTTTTTTTTAATATTCATGTTCATTTAAAACCTTTCAAAAAATTAAAAAAAAAAAAACAAAAAAATCCACGCTCATGAATGATTCTTAAATTTTGTTTAAATATTCACGTTCATTAGAATCCATCGAAATTTTTCGTAAAAAATCCGCGCACTTAAAAAATATATATTTTTTTTAATATTAATTTTCATTGGAGGACTTTGAATTTTTCAAATCCAAGCTTATAAGTACTCCCTAAAAATATATATATATTTTTTTTTAATACGTTCATTGGAGACCTTGGATTTTTTTAATGGCTCGTAAAGAATATTTTTTTTAAATATTCACGTTCTTCAGAGACTCTAGATTTTTTTTTAATCCACGGTCATAAGGACCCAAAAAAAAATTATTTTAATATCTACGTTCATTAGAGGCCTTCGATTTTTTTTTAAATCCGATCTCTTCAAAGATTAGATTTTTTATAAAAAATCCACGCCCATAAATGATTCTTAAAGGCCCTGGATTTTCTTTTAATTCCATGCTCATAAATGGTTCGTAAAACAAAATATTTTTTTAAAATATTCACGTTCATTTGAGGCCCTAGATTTTGTTTTTAATCCACGGTCATAAGGACCCTAAAAAAATATTATTTTAATATTTACGTTCATTAGAGGCCCTCGATTTTTTTTAATCCGATCTCTTCAAAGAATATTTTTTTTTTTTTTTTTGAATTTTCACGTTCACTAGAGACTCTAGATTTTTTTTTTTAAATTTTCGCACATAAATGATTCTTAAAAAATATATATATTTTCTAAATAATTATGTTGATTAGAAGCCCTCGAAATTTGTTTATTCTAAATGCACGCTCATAAATTGTCCTAAAAAAATATATATTTTTAAATTCACTTTCATTAGAGGCTCTCTCTTTTTTTAAGAAAAGAAAATCCACTCTCAAGAATTATTCTTAAAAAAATACTTTTAAATATTTACTTAAAATTTATTTTCCACTTGTTCCCCAAAATGTGTGCTGGGTCATAAATAGCCTGATATTTGTATATGTGTTTGTTTCTCTCTATCAGCGCACACATCATCCATTTGACGCTGACGCCTGATGCTGAGCTCATATTTATAGTTGACAATTATTTAATAATAATCACATGTTGCAATAATAATGACACATTCATTCGCACATAAGTACGTGCCATGATAATGCGATTATTTTGTATTCCGCCACCGCCCCCCGTCAGTGGCTGCGACGGCAGATAATGTATGCAAAATATAAATAATTGTTAAATATTATCCATATTTCATTAAGGCACTCTGGCTGATGACACAATGTTGGCATTTGATGTTTTTGTGGGGAGGGTAAGCCAAAGGGGGTAGGGAGGGGGAAATTGGCAGTCAATGTGAGGCAACTGACACTTGTTGCTTTACCCTGATATTTATTGCATTTTGTAATTTAATAAAATTTTTAATTTCATTTAAAGTTACTAATATTCTCTCTCCCTCTCTCTCTCTCTCTCTCTCTCTCTCTCTCTCTCTCTCTCTCTCTTTTACAGGACTATGACAAAGAGATACCTCCACACAAAATCAACTCCCCCTTGGGCAACAACATCAACGACATGCCAATCCATTTCAATGGACCTCGTCTGGATAATGAAGATGAAAATAATGATGAGGATGCCTCGGCCACCGAAGATGACAAGGATCATCTGAAGGAATTGGAATTTTACAAGAATTTAGCCAAGGCCGCAACGCTGGCCTCTCAGAACAATAATAACAACAATACCAGTAATAATAATTTAGATAAATCACCAATACCTCAACATTTGCACGAAGCATCAAATAATCTACACCCCTCACCGCCACCCTCACCGGAACCCATGCAAATTGATGTGGATCCCCATCTGCATCATCATCATCACCAACACCATCAGTTACATCGTGCCAAAGAAGAGGATATGCAACAGCATGAAGATGACATGGCCTTAATGCATCATGAGGATCACCACATGTCGGAGGTGGATGCCGAGTTGGCCGACCACCAATCATCGGAACAGGCCAAGGCATTGGCTGCGGCAGCCGCTGCGGCCCAGGCTCATCTGAATGGAACTAGTGAGTACATATCGATATCCAATTTTTTTATATTCCCCAAAGCAAAGCAACACGAAGAACACAGATACCGAACATTAATTTTCAGATGATTTCAGAAATAAAAAAATTTGGGAAATTTGGAAAAAATTGGAAATTTAAGAAAAAATGTGAAAAAATGGCCTTAAGTTTTCATTAAAAATTTTTGAATTAAAAAAAAATAAAAAATGGCCTTCAAGTTTTCCCAATTGGCAATTTAGAAATATTTTGAAATTTAAAAGAATTGGAATAAATGAAATTAAAAAAAAAAATGGAAATAAATTGAAAAGAAAATTGGTTCATTTTTTGGGCTTTAAGTTTTCCCAACTCTCAATTCAATTTTTTTGAATTTTTTTTTTTTTTTTGAATTGGAAAAATTGTGAAAAATAAAAAATGGACTTCAAGTTGTCTCAAGTTGGCACATGAGAAAAATTTTGAAATTGGAAACAAAAATTGTTTAAAAAATATAAAAAAATGGCCTTCAGGTTTTCCCAAAATCCCAATTGGCAATTTAGAAAAATTTTGAAATTTAAAAGAATGGAGAAAGAATGAAATTTAAAAAAAATGAAAATAAATTGAAAAAAATTGATAATTTTTTTGGGCTTCAAGTTTTCCCAAATCTCAATTGGCAATTTTGAAAAAAAATTTTGAATTTGAAAAATTATGAAGAATAAAAAAAATTGGCTTCAAGTTGTCCCAAGTTGGCACTTCAGGAAAATTTTGAAATTGAAAAAAAGTGTTAAAAAAATAAAAAACGGCCTTCAAGTTTTTCCAAATCCCAATTGGCAATTTAGAAAAAATTTGAAAGAATTGAGAAAGAGTGAAATTTAAAATAATGTGAGAAATAAAAAAATGGAAATAAATTGAAACAAATTTGGTTCATTTTTTGGGCTTCAAGTTCTCCCAAATCTCAATTACAACTTTAAAAAAAATTTGAATTTGAAAAATTGTAAAAAATAAAAACATGGGCTTCAAGTTGTCCCAAATCCGACGATTCAGAAACATTTTAATATTGAAAAAAAAATGGGAATAGGACTCCGAAAAGTTTTAAAATTGTAAAAAAATGTCCTTAGTTTTCCCAAATCCCAGTTGGTTTGAATTTTGAAAAATAAAAACAAATGAGCTTAAAATCTTTCCAAATCCCAATTTGCAATTCAGAAAATGTTTGAAATTAAAAAAAATTTAAAAAATAACAAAATGGGCTCCAAGGTTTTCCAAATCACAGTTGGCGTTTCAAATAAAAAAATTTAAATTGAAAAAAAAAATGTGAAAAATTATGAATGGCTTTCAAGTTTTCCGAAATTTCAATTAGATACTCAAAAGAAAAATTTGGAACTAAAAAAAATTAAACTGGAAAAAATTATGAAAAGTAAAAAATTAAGCATCAAAATTTTCCAAATCCCAATTGTATATTCAGAAAAAAATTGAAATTGAAAGTGAGGAATAAAAAAATGAGCATCAGGTTTTCCTAATTCGCAATTCAGAAAAAAATTTGAAATTGAAAAAAAAAAAAAATTGAAAAATAGAAAATGGGCTTCAAGTTTTCCCAAATCTGAATTTGCAATTCAGAAAAATGTTTGAAATTGACAAAAAAAATTTGATTTTCAAACCAGAAAATTTCAAGCCAGAAAATCCCTTAATTTTTTTAAGATTAAAAAAAAAAATTGGAAAAATTAGAAAAAATTGTGCTTGGCAATTTAGTACAATTTTGAAATAAAAAAAAAATTGATACTTGAAAAAATGAACTTCAATTTTTAACAAAAATCCCAATTGTCAAAAATTTTGAAATTGAAAAAAATGTGAAAATTTTAAAAATAACTGCTTCGAGTTTTCCCAAATTCCAAATCGCAATTTAGAAATATTTTAAATTAAAAATTAAAAAAATTGACCTTGGCAATTTAGTAAAATTTTGAAATAAAAAAATTGAAAATTAAAAAAAATTAAACTTCCATTTTTAACAAAAATCCCATTTGTCAAAAATTTTGAAATTGAAAAAAAAATTGTGAAAATTTAAATAATAACTACTTCTAGTTTTCTCAAATTCCAAATGGCAAAAATTTTAAATTAAAAAATAAAAAAAAATTAAGCTGGCAATTTAGTAAAATTTGAAATAAAAAAAAATGAAAAATAAAAAAATTAGAACTTCAATTTTTAACAAATCCCAATTGTCAAAAAATTTGAAATTTAAAAAAATGTGAAAATTTTACAAATAACTGCTTCTAGTTTTCCCAAATTCCTAATCACAATTTAGAAAAATTTTAAATTATAAAATAAAAAAATTGACCTGGCAATTTAGTAAAATTTTGAAATAAGAAAGAATTAAAAATTTAAAAATAAATTGAACTTCAATTTTTAACAAATCCCAATTGTCAAAAATTTTGAAATTGAAAAAAATGTGAAAATTTAAAAAATAACTGCTTCTAGTTTTCCTAAACTCCAAACTGCAATTTAGATAAATTTTAAATTAAAAAATAAAAAAAATTAAGCTGGCAATTAAGTAAAATTTTAAAAAAAAAAAATTTGAAAATTAAAAAAATTGAACTTTAATTTTTAACAAATCCCGATTGTCCAAAATTTTTAAATTAAAAAAAAATTGTGAAAATTTAAAAAAAACCTGCTTCTAGTTTTTCCAAATACCAAATGGCAATTTAGAAAAATTTTAAAATTGAAAAAAAAATAGTGAGATATAGGATAAAGTTCCAAAAAAAAAATGGAAAAATTAATAAAACTAAAAAATAAAAAAATTGCACTTCAGAAAAATTTTTGAAATTGAAGAAACTAATTTTTTTTTTATGTTTTGGATTATTTTTATTCTAAATCCAAAATATTCAACCCAGAAAGTAACTTAATTGTCAATTAAAAAAAATTTTGAAGTTCAAAAAAAAAAAATGGAAAAAATTGAGCATGGAGGCCATTTAGTAAAATTTTGAAATTGAAAAATATTTGAAAAAACTTGAACTTCAATTTTTAACAAATCCCAATTGTCAAAAATTTTGAAATTGAAAAAAAAAATAGTAAAAATTAATAAAAATAACTGCTTCCCAAATTCCAAATCGCAATTTAGATAAATTTTACAATTGAAAAAATAGGGAAATATAGGGAATGGAAAATTTAGAGTTCCAAAAATATGGAAAAATTAAAAATTTTTGAAATTGAAAAATTTTTTTTTTTTAGTTTTGAATTATTTTTATTCTAAATCCAAAAGTGAAGTGAAAAATTGTGAAAATTTAAAAATAACTGCTTCATGCTTTTGCAAATTCCAAATCGCAATTTAGAAAAATTTTAAAATTGAATAAAAAATATTGAAATATAGGAAAATGGACCTTCAGTTATCCCAAATCCCAAATTGGAAATTTAGAAAATTTTTTCCAGTTTTCCCAAATCAGATGAATTTTGAAATTGAAAAATATAAAATCCCAACATTGCTGAAGTGCTTTTTTATTTGAAAAAAAATTATTATTTTTTTTTTTTGTGAAAAATCAAAAAAAATCTTCAAGTTTTCCCAACTCCCATCATTGCCGGTTTTTTATTTTTTTTTTTTTAAATAAATGTTTTGAACTAATTTTTATTCTAAATCCGAAACCTTTCAACCCCGAAAATCCCTTAATTGTCATTTGCTTTTTCAATTTACAAAATTTTTGGAATCCCAACAACTGACAATATAGGCATTGTTTCCTAATACTAACATCCTTACTCACTCATACATACACATACACACACACACACCCCGTCCACCACATGCAAGCTATTTCACCAGAAAATTTTATTAGTTTCTTCCCCCTATTCCGTTCTAGTGCAAGAAATGTTAAATTTACAAAAATTGCAAAGTCTCTCCTCGTCATTCCAACAAGAACAGGCCATGGCCGGCAATAATGCCGCCACAGCGGCCGCTTTGGCCAGTCTGCAAGGTTTGGCAGCGGGGATACAGGCCACAGCGGCGGCAGCTGCTCTCAACTCACCGCTGAATTTGAGTGTGGCCAGCAGTGGAGGCAGTGGCATTCCTACATCTATGGCTTCGGAGTTGCTGGGTAGCAGTCACAAAGTTATGGCTCATATGGCGGAGTCGGCGGGCGGCAGTAATGCCGGAGATGGCCAGAATCAAAGGAGTGCCTCTTCACCCAATCATGCTGGCAATAGCCTGGCGGGTGGGGGACAATCAACGGCTTCATCGTCACAAAATGCTTTGGCCAATGCCCTGAGTAATGCGGCAGCAGCAGCGGCGGCTGCGGCCCAGGGTACAGCGGCCACGGCCTCGCCACCACCCCAGCTGCAGGCACCACCGGCCAGTGCACAAATGCCCCAGCTAATCCTGGCCTCGGGCCAATTGGTGCAAGGGGTCCAGGGGGCCCAGCTGCTGATACCCACAGCCCAAGGTGAGAAGGAAATGAAATTCGAATTTTCAGTTTTTTTCTAATTTCTTCCCCATTTTTCTTTTCGATTCCATTTTTCCAGGCATTGCTGTGCAGACCATCCTCACCATACCGGTGAGTCCTCAGGTGAACACCAACGAACAATTCCTATCAAACTTTGGAGCATTTGCTGGCTTCCATCAGCAACAAACGCCACCGCCTCCACCACCACCCCAGCCCCAGCTGCTGGCCGGTGCAGCGCCTCACTTGTCAGCCTCCTTGGCTGCCCTGCATCAAGCACCCACCTTGCCCCAGCTTGCCCCAGGTCCCACGAATTTACTCAAACCCAATCTTTTCTCAAACGGTGTACAACAGCTGTTGGCTGCCCTGCATCCGGAGCTTTTTGCCGCCGCCGCAGCCAATCATCATCACCACCAACAACAGCAGCACCAACAACAACAACACTCCCAACAGCAGCAACAACATGCCCAACAATTGGCCGCCCACCATCATGACATGCATTTGCGTTCGGCCGCCAACGATCGCTCCCCGCCCTCCTCGCCAACAAATAGTACAAAAGCTGCCGCAGCAGCTGCAGCCGCCGCAGCTGCCGCCTTTCATTTGCAATCCCAGCTACAGATCAAAGCCGAAACCCAACCTCATCTACATCCACATCATCATGCGGCCGCAGCAGCGGCTGCCTTGCATCACCACACCCAGGCCCTGAGGCATGCCGAGGGTTTGGCCTCACCCAAGCTGGACTGTAAATCGAAAATAAGTCTCAGCTCGGATGACAATGATGATTTGCCGCTGGCGCGTCATCAATTCGGCAGTCATCATCGTTTGGGTAATGCCTCCAGCTCACCGCGGCCATCTTCAAGTACTTCCAGCAGCTTGGCTCTGAGAGAGCGGGAGGTCAGGGAACAATTGTCACTGAAACTAAGTCCCTCGCGATCGGTAAGCAGTAATGCCGGACCAAGCGGCATGAATTTAAGTCAAATGGGCAGTGAGAGGGAAAAGGAGAGGGAAAGAGAACGAGAACGCGAGAGAGAAAGAGAACGAGAGCGTGAAAGAGAACGTGAACGTGACAGAGAACGCGAACGCGACAGAGAACGTGAGCGTGAACGTGAACGCGAAGAGAAACGTGAACGTGAGGGCTTCAGGGAACGCGAACGGGAGCGTATACGTGCCGCCTCACCCGCCACCCTTAATGCCCGCAGTGCCGCTGCAGCCCTGGCCAAAGAGGCTGCCTCGGTGGGGCAATGCCATTCCTCGACTTCTTCATCTTCAAACAACTGCAACGAAAGAGGCTATTCATCACCTGCAGGCTCATCCGCAAGTAACCAAATATACCGGGCCCATTCGCCCCACATGTCCCATCATTCGCTGGGTCGGCAAACGCCCCATACCATATCGCTGGACTCGCCACATGAAAGAGATTATCTGGGCAATGGTGGCCATCTGGCGGCCTCGGCATCCAACACAACGGCAACCTCCACGGCCAATGTACTTAGTGGTATGAATAGGTAAGTTGGAGGACATCTATAAAAAATCTCTCTGAAGAGAAGATCTCAAAATCTTCTCTGAGAAAGAAGTTGTCGAAATCTTCTCTAAGAAGAAAAGACCTCAAGGTCTTCTCTAAGAAGGAAAGCCTCAAGGACTTCTCTGAGAAAGAAGACCTCAATGTCTTCTCTCAGAAAGAAGACCTGAAGATATTCTCTGAGAAAAATACCTCAAGGACTTCTCTGAGAAAGAAGGCTTCAAGGCTTTCAGAGAAAGAAAATCTCAAAAATCTCTTCTCACAAAAAAGACCTCAAAATCTTCTCTGAGAATGAAGATCTCTTCTCTGAGAAAAACCCTTCCTTCAAAAATATGTCTCTCATCTCCAATTTCTCCCTCATTTCAGACTCTCCTCCTCCAACGGCGAGCTGAGCATATCAAAGTCCTCCCATGGCCCCTCAACTGCAACCGTCAGCGGCCTATCGGTGTCACCAACCCCCATTGCGGGACCAAACATGTCTTCAAACAATGCCTCCACCTCCACATCGTCATCGGCCTCGTCGATGCATCACCAGCAGCAGCCACATCATTCAATGCATTCCATGAAAATGTCTCCTACCACCAGTGCGGTGCTGCAACAGCAAAGAGAGCGTGAACGTGAAAGGGAGCGAGAACGCGAACGTGATCGTGAGAGGGATCACATGGGTGATCTGCCGCCACCACCGCCAGCCATGTCACCCAACGGCACGGAGGGTTCCATTGGAGCCCATGATCTGCTAATGGATTCACCGAGTGAGTAAAGATCGTATTCTGATAAAAAAATATCTCTCTCGTTTTTTTGCGTTTTGTTTTTGTTGTTGTAGAAGAGAATAGGAAGAGTTTTAGAATAATTTTTTTTCTCAGAGAAGACATTTTTCTGAGAGAAGACCTTGAGGTATTTTTCTCAGAGAAGAACTTAACGCCTTCTTTTTCAGAGAAAACCTTAAATTTTTGTTTCTCGAAGAGGAATAAACTCCGAAATTAGAAGATCTCAAGGTCTTCACTGAAAGAAAAAGAGCCTCACGATTTTCTCCAAAACAGAGAAGAATTTAAGGTCTTCTTTCTCCGAGAAGATATTGAGGCATTTTTTTCTCCATCTGTTCATCTCTTCCAAAGATGTCCTGGAGGAATTATTTTCTATAAAATAAAAACAGAATGTATTATCTTCTATAGAAGACCTGGAGGTTTTTCCTCCCAGGAGACCTAGAGTCCTTTTTCTAAGTGAAGGCCTGGAGGATTTTTTTTTCTCAGAGAAAGCCCCAAAGTATTTCTTCTCAGAGAAGACCTTGAGAGAAGAACAGGAAGCCTTATTTTTCAGAGAAAACCTTAAGTTATTGTTTCTCAGAGAAGACCTTGAGGTCTGCTTTATCTAAGAAGATACCATAAAAGGCCATTTCGTGGAAGAAGATTTTGATATATTCTGTCTCAGGGAACGATTTGGATCTTTTTATTTTCATAGAAGACCCGAAGATATTCTTTTCTTAGAAGACCTGGAGCTCTTTTTTTTACTGAAGACACGGAGAAGTTCTCCTCATAGATATTTCTCTCAGAGAAATCTTTGAAGTCTTCCTTGGATCTTCTTTTCCATAGAAGACCCGAAGATGTTCTTTTCTAAGAAGACCTGGAGCTCTTTTTCTACTGAAGACACGGAGAAGTTCTCCTCATTGATATTTCTCTCAGAGAAATCTTTGAAGTCTTCCTTTTTCGTTGTCAGAGAAGACCTTGAAGTCTTCTTTTTCAGATAGGGCCTTGAGATCTTCTACTCTATAGAATACCTTCATGACATGTATTTTATGGAAGACCCTGATGTCTTCTCTTTTGTAGATGACCGGGAGGTCCGCTCTTCCATAGTGAACCTGGATTTATTTTCTTCTATAGAAGTTCTGAGATCTGTAGAAGGCCTGAATGTCTTTTCTGCAATAGAACCAAAGGAGATCTACTCTTCTATAAAAAACCAGAAGGAGTTCTTTTTCAAAGAATAGCTAAAAGATGTCTGCTTTTCATTCAGAAGACCTGGATAAGGTTTTTTCTTCTAAAAAAAACTTGGAGGGGGTCTTCTCTTCTTTAGAGGTGGTATTTTTTTCCATAGAAGACCTGGATTTATTTGCTTTTATAGGAAAACTGAAGGTCTTCTTCTCTCCCACAGAAGAGCTGAAGGCCTTCTTCTCTCCCCCAGAAGTGCTGAAGGCCTTCTTCTCTTTCATTGAAGAGCTGAAGGCCTTCTTCTCTTCCAAAGAAGAGCTGAAGGCCTTCTTCTCTCCCACTGAAGAGCTGAAGGCCTTCTTCTCTCCCCCAGAAGTGCTGAAGGCCTTCTTCTCTCCCCCAGAAGTGCTGAAGGCCTTCTTCTCTCCCCCAGAAGTGCTGAAGGCCTTCAGCTCTTCCATTGAAGAGCTGAAGGCCTTCTTCTCTTCCACAGAAGAGCTGAAGGCCTTCTTCTCTTCCACAGAAGAGCTGAAGGCCTTCTTCTCTTCCACAGAAGAGCCGAAAGCCTTCTTCTCTTCCATAGAAGAGCCGAAAGCCTTCTTCTCCTCCATAGAAGAGCCGAAAGCCTTCTTCTCTCCCACAGAAGAGCTGAAGGCCTTCTTCTCTTCCATAGAAGAGCTGAAGGTCTTCTTGGGTGCTTTCCCTTCTCCGAGAAAACCTAGAGAACTTCTTTTTTCTTTCCTCTAACGAACCTCTTCTTTCAAAAGGAGAACTTCTGATCTTCTTTTGGAAAAGGCCTCTGGCTCATTTTTTTTATAGAAGAGGTCTAGGTCCTGTTACAATAAATTATCTCTGGATCTTTTTTCAATAGAAGACCTGCATGTATTCTTTCAATGGAAGAGCTTTTTTGAATTGAAGATCTCTAGAAATTTCGGGCCTTCTTTCCATTGAAGTCACTTAAGCCTATTGAGGACCTCTAGATCTTCATTCTCTAAAAATGACTCCTATTCCGTATTTTTGGTAAAAAATAGAGGCTCTAATCTTTCTTTCTAGGGAAACCTTTGAGTTTTTTCCCTGATTTTCCAAAAGAACAAAAAACCAAGGTCTTCTGCGAAGAGAGGAGCCCTCCTCCTTCCACAAAACAAACAGAGGTTGTTCGATTTCGGAGAGATGCCCTCAATCTCATGTCCTATATAAGAAGGCCTTGAAGTTTTTTTTTACCAGAGAAGACCTGGGGGTCTTCTTTCTCGGAGAAGACCTCTGAGAGATCTTTTCTCAGAGAAGACCTTTTTTCTCCGAGAAAACCTTGAAAACTTTTTTCGAAGAAGTCGTTTCCTGGGTTCCTTTAGGTTTTTCTTTCTAAGGAGAAAAAAAGAAGGAAAACCTCTTGGTCTTCTAGTTTCTGTCGAAGAAACTAGACCTGGGTGTCTTCTTTCTCGGAGAAGACCTTTTTTCTCCGAAAACTTTTTTCGAAGAAGTCTTTTTCTGGGTTTCCTCAAGGGTTTCTTTTTAAGGAAAAAAAAAAGAAAGAAACCCTATTGGTCTTCTAGTTTCTGTTGAAGATTCCTGAGGTTTCTCTCTATATAAGACTATTTGTCCTTTATTCTAGAAAATTCGCTGGATCTACTGTCTGTAGAAGGTGTCATTATATCTGTCCTATAAAAGAACCTATTAGCATTCTTGCTATAAAGAAGGTCCCTCGGCTTTTTTTTTTTTTTTTTTTTTGAAGTCCTCATTTTGGAATATGACGTCTTGCCCCTTTTTTCCATAGAATAGCTCCCATTTCGCTCTCTTTTTGGCCTCCCTCCAAAATCTTCCCCAATTTTCTTGTAACTTTTCATTAGTTGTTGTTAATTTGAAAATTGAAGTTTTGCGAATTTCCTCAAAATCCCCCTCTCCCCCTTCCCCTCTGCTTCCTCACATCACAATAAACCCCTCCAAGGAAAACTATCTTCATTAGTCTCCAGTAACTTTCTTGCGAAGCTTCTCGTTTACGCTTCTCCGAAAAACTAAACTATATTGACATGTTTGGCAAAAGGTAAACTTTTAGCTATCTACGGCTAATTTCCAATTACACTCCTAAGCTAATTCTTCTTTAGCAGGAGCTTCTTCCTCTGCTCTTCCTTATACCTATGCATCACTTGCTTTCACTTCTTAACATATGAGTGACATTAAGCCTTGCAGCAAGATTTGGTGGTTTCATTCATTGATGACAAGGATAATGGTGTTGTTGTATATTTTTTTGTTGTATTTTTCTTTCTTCGAAGAATTTGTTGCCTCCTCGCTAAAAATGCAATTTGCAAAGTATTAGAATTTTGTTGCGAAAATTCGCCAAAAGATTATTATTTTTGTGAAAAACTTTTCCAATGGCAAAAAGGATTTGACAGCAGCCGCAGCAACAGCATCAACTCAACATTTTTTCATTATTGAGAAGAGTTGAATGGAATTAGAGGTTGCCAAGGTAATCAGCAACTTTTAATGTGGCGAACAGTGGGGGAGATGTGGGAGAAATTAAGGAGGGATCTTAAGGATAATATGCGGTAGGAAAAATATATTCTTTTTTGGATAGTCCTTTAATTGGATTTAATTAGAGGCCAGGATTCATTGTAACATAAAAATCATAATCATAAAAATTTTGAAGCAAAAGGAAAGGCTGAGAGAGGGATAAAGAGAGAGAGAGAGAGAGATACATTGCAAAACGCAACAATAGCTAACTGTAATCCTTGTAAAAATAGTTTTAAAATATCTACGTTTCTTTTTAGTCCTTCCAAAAATATTTTTAAAAAATCCTCTGTCCCTTATGGTCCTTAAAAATTAATTTTTAAAAAATACAGGTTATTCTTTAGTCCTTGCAAAAATATTTTTAAAATCTCCTCTGTCCCTTTTGGTCCTTAAAAATTAATTTTTAAAATATCCACGTTTCTTTTTAGTCATTGCAAAAATATTTTTAAAAAAATCCATGGTTCCTTTTAGTCCTTGAAAATTAATTTTTAAAAATCCACGTTTATTTGAGGTCCTTGTAAAAATATGAGGTCCTCGTGAAAATATTTAAAAAAATGAATTTTTTGCATTTTTTTTAAAAAATATAAAAATTTCGAAGCAAAAGGAAAGGCTGAGAGAGGGATAAATCGAGAGAGAGAGAGAGAGAGACGGAGAGATACATATCGCATCAATAGCCAACTCTAATGGATTTTTTCGCATATTCTTTAAAAAATTATAAAAATTTGGAAGCAAAGAGAAAGGCTGAGAGAGGGATATAGAGAGAGAGAAACAGTTACCTTACATATCGCATCAATTGTTAACTCCAATGGAATTTTTTTATTTTTCTCTTTCGTTCAAAAATTTGTAATTTTTAAGAATAAATATTCTTCCACTGTTACTTCTTTGAATTTTTCTCCCTTTCAATTTCTCCCTGCTACCCCCTCTCTCTATTTCTCCCTCTCTTGGTCTTTTTCTAAGCATCTCTCTAAATTCTAAGTCTATTCAAATTATATTTGACACCATAAAGATAAAGATATAGACATCATTGACATCAAGCCACAACGTTTCTGAAAACTTTTCCAAAATAAGTCAAATATTCCTCTTCTTTTCCCACCTCCTCTCATCACCTGCATATATGTTTGTGTGTGTGCATATTGAGCATCCTTGCTAGCCTCCATAATTGTGTAGTGTCAAAAGTTTAGCTGGAATTAAATATTTTAAAGTTTAATTAACGCACATACACCTTTCAATTTTTGAAGTTCTATATAATCGGATAAGGCTATTATGGTGGGTGGAAATTTGGGGGGAAATTAGCATCAACAGTTAAAAAGTAGCAGTGGATTGATTTC